CAGAGCAGCAGCTTGGACAGAGATTAACATGTGATCTTAAGAGTCCGTCAGTATTTCATGCTCATTTCAAAGTCACACCAGAAACAGAAATAAAATATGTGAGTAACAACAGATTTACTGTGAATTCAGCAATGCTGGGTATTAAAATGCTGCATATGTGAGCACAGAGAGCAGGAGAGAAGGAAACAGGTGCTAAAGGCTAACACTGGTCAACAGTAGGCAGAATGCATCTCGTCATTTAACATCTTTTCCTGCAAGCTTGAGCTACTTTCCACTGAAAGTCAATGACAACACTTTGTACGTGTGTCCAGACTGGTTATCTCAAAGCCTGAACATATATTCTTTTCTTTTCTTGGTATGTTGATGAATTATAGTAATAAAAACTCAGCACAAGGACAACTGTTGTTGTTTAAACTCACATGGTCACGTGTTCAAAATGGCACCACGGGGAGCTTTTCTATCTATTTGCATCCATCTGACTGTGTTTACAATCACAGAACCTCTAAAATGTGCAGCGAATGCTTTTAGAGAACAACACAGTCGAGAAAAGACAGCAGAGCCGCTATTAGCAGAATTAGGAGGTTCTCCTCACCGGCTCATATTACATTTACTCAAAACTAGATGCCAGAAACAAGTCTGTTTCCTGTTTTGTGTACTGAGCACAGGACACGGCGAGTTGACAGCCGGCATCTGCAACCTGTTTTCGTTATCGATCACGAATGCGAGCCCATTCATCTTTGTTGAGTTATACTGTATTGAGCTATTGATTTCCCCGTGTCTGAAGCGTTTTGAGTCATTGCTCATCCCAGTTATGAATACACGGGACCTGTAAATCAAATAGCTCTCAGTAAACATCCATGCAGCACAATTCACAGCACCGCCGAGTGAAATAACATTATCCATACGGCATCTTGCACCGCTACCACCGGTAGGTCTACGATGTTTAAATAATCACAATAAAAATCCATATCACTGCGAGCGATTTCTCTCACCAGGGTGATGAAGGATGCACACAGGATATAATGGACTAAACAGAAGCAGATTGTAAAGATTACAGAGCAGCAATATAAAACTCTAATATACACCGCGGTGGGATGATGGGGTGGGTGGTTGTATGTGTGCGCGAGTGTGGCAGCAGAATAACGATTGGTATGTGGGTGAGGCTGTCAGAGCAAGGATTATAAAAAAGAAAAAAAAAAAAGAAGAAGAAGTGTGTCTGTATGGATGGTGTGAGGAGTGTGGGTGAGACAGTGTGTGTTGCTTTCCGTGGGGGATATAGCCGGTGGATCGCTCGCAGCATCTCCAGTCCCAGCGTCCCCGCGGATACATGTGTGTGCGGCGCTCGCTAGATTGGGCTGCAGAGTGAATGGGCTCATTAGCGGTAGCAGAGTAACACATGGCCCGGGGCACACACAGACACACAACACACACACACACACACTCTCTCTCTCTCCTCTCTGCTGTCTGTCTGCCTCGCTCGCTCGCTCACACACACAGTCACACTCCAGACTTGCATACTAATGCCCTTGGATTGTGAACACAACGAGCCTCATTTATAAAAGATTCTTATATTCTTATGCGCCAGCCCGGGCTTCGGCAGCGCGGTCCCAAGCAAAAAAAAAAAAAAGGATGAACTTATGAAAAATTGATCTCGGCGCCAAAATCAGCTGTTTACACGAATTCTCTCCAATGTTCTGTGATGTTAGGACGATTTTTTTTTCTCTCTCTCTCTAATGATTAAGTAGGTGACATGTTCCCTCAAGATGTTAACGCTTAACAAGAAGACAATAATGCGCAGCCCACACAGCACCCAGAGACAAATGGAGGAATGTTTAAAATAATGGTGCACCACCTCCAGAAAAGTTGATTTACTCCTGTCGATTAGCTTGTAGCAGCAGGAGATGCTCATGTCTTTTTTTTTTTTTTTTAGATTATCTTAATTAGATGATGAAAAAAAAACATCTCCAGACAAAACTTCTCTGAAAATATTTGTTTATTATTCCCACCCTAAGCTCATAATTGTGATATCATAATAATGTTTGTTCCTTTAAATGCAGAAAATATATTCAGGGCACCACTCAGCGCTGCCTATTGTTCCTACATTTACCAAAAAAAAAAAAAGTCCTCCAACCACAAAGACTGTGGAGGTCATTCGTTCCTCCCCTCTGACTGGGACCCATAGGAGCGTTTCCTGAATTAGCGTCAGCAGGTTAGAAGGCACGGATATTTTTCACCTCTTTTCGATTGAGACACCAAAATAACTGGCCGAAGGGAAAGATCAGGGTTTGGGTGTAAGAAAAGGGCATTTGTTGTCATTGTGTATACAGAACGATAGCAGTTATTACCAGTTTGAAATGGGAAATTAAAAGGAAAAGTCTGTTGAAGTCAAATGTTTTGTTGATCCATCCGTCCACCCCGACCTCCTCCCTGTGTGAACTTTGTGGCTCTGCTGCATCATCTTTTTATTTCTTCTTTTGCTCCCATTATATTTACAATAGCCAATAAATGGGGCTGTCAGAGTAACACATAAATATGATTTGTAATAAGCACAAATACTACTACCACCACCACTACTACTACTACTACTACTAAAAATATTGCACAGCATGGTCATTGTGCAATATCATCAATGACCATGCTGTGCAATATTTTTCTAAATTCATACTGTACATATAACTTATACTGTATATAAAACGTATCTTATTTTATATTTAAATTTCTTCTATTTTTTATTTTTTGCTCTTTATTTTGTTCTTTATTCTATATTGCACTGAAGGAGCTGCTCTTAATCACATTGTACATGCGTATAGTGACAATAAAGGTATTCTATTCTATTCTATTCTATTCTATTCTATTCTATTCTATTCTATTCTATTCTATTCTATTCTACTACTACTAATAGTAAGTATACCAAATACAAAGACTTGGAAACCGAGGTTGAGTGAATGTGGAGGCTCAAAACAACAACAGTCCCAGTGGTTATAGGAGCCTTTGGAACCATCAAGCAGGACATGGAAAACTACTCCAACAAAATCCCTGGCAACATCAACGCACATGAAGTCCAGGAAAAAACTCTCCTGTCTGCAGCCCACCTTCTCAGGCGGGTCCTTTCCATCAAGTAGAAACTCTCTCTGCCTTTGGACTCGGATGTGGAGAGAGAAAATCAATTACAGGAGTAATAATAATGATAATAATAATAAGTAAAAACAACCGATAGTGTTGGTTTTTATGCAAGGACGGTATGTAGACTTTGAGACGTTGACGAGGTAGAGATGATTTAAACAAACTCTGCAGTTTATATAAACTTTCTACTGATGTGTCACTGTTAGCCAGACGTGGTCGTTTCTTACTCCTATCGTTACGGTAATTAAATTAAATATGGACAAATGAAGCTTCTTGCAACAGATCTATTGTCAAAAAATGGAAATTCATTTAAAATGTCAGCCTCAACTTCACTTTTACTGCTACAAACGTGCATCTTCAGTCTTTTCTTTAACCTGCATGGACGTCACATTTTGGGTTATATTACCATAGAAGTTTATTTTTTCAATTTTCAATTTTTATTATTTTATCAGTATTATTTCATTATTCTTTATTTATTTTAAATTTTATTTTAAAATATTTTTTATTTAAAAAATATTTGTTTTATGCTATTTTTAAATGTATTTTTATTTTCTTTATATTTTTAGTTAATTTTAATTTCAATTTTATTTTCTTTACTATTTGATCGGATCAAATAAACAGAAATAAAGAGAAATAATAATAAAAAAAAAAAAGCATATGAAACAAGAGCTTGGGTCTTGAGAGGTATAATTATTTAGATTTGGATAATTAATACAAATGCATTAACACATAAGCAGAACTTTAATATTACACCTGCTTGAGGTAGATTTAACTAGAAGCTATAGCGGTCCCATAAATGTAGTAAAAGGTCTGATTTTTTCTCTGAAATGTCGAGCAGAAGTTTAAAGTTCTACAAATTAACACCCAAAGCACCCAAAACCTGCACTCATGTACTTTACATTCCCCGTAACAAAGGCTAACAAGCAAGCTAACAACGCAACGCTTGAAATATCTCAAAGGGAAATTAAAGAACAAGGTGCTGCACACTTGAATGAACATCAGAATGTCAACATGTTAAACTCGTGTTCGGCTGTAATGAGACGACGTTTAATAAAAGGGGCCTGAAGACGTTTTACTGGGTGACCTTCAAACATCAAATGTGCATGTATGTACACAGAATTTAATGATTCCTCCTTTGAATCGCAGCCCCTGCACGCCGAGACCCCTCTTCAGGTTTGACAAAGTTTCGGCGGCACAAACAGTGAGTACAAAGGACATCTGCTGTCTAAATGCAAATGCTACAGACTGGAGTGTGTGAGCGCAGGCTGCTGACTGGGTTTATCAAGTGGGCACCTGTCATCACAGATATTTCACTGAATTAGAGCCACTACACCTCCAGAAGCCTCCACGCTGACTGTATTCGCAATAACCTTCAACTATTACGACTCCTTAATGAATCTTTCATCCTCGGCGAAACACTTAGGCAGCATCCAGTAACTTAAATGTGCCCATCTTTTAGATTTAAGGCCAGAAATAATGCATCTGTTCCCTCCTGCTGAGGGGTTACGTGACTGAATCTGGCTCCGGTCGGATTTGACCTGCTCAAAAACAACTCCGAAAATAAGAATAAAGACAGAGAATCCTCCAGCACTGACCACGGCCGCCTCAATTGTACGTTTCAGGATGAAAAACATGTATTTATAGCTTGTTTTTTGGCTGATATTGAAACACTTCATTGACTTCCTTCTGCGAAAGCAACAGCGTGCAGAAGGATGACACCGCTTAGGTTTGTCTCTGCCAAAACAACAAGGCTCTCACACCACATCTGAAGAGCTGGTGTATGCAAAAGCAGCACATCTTTTTGCTCCATTATTTTGGACCGTAATAGATATGAAAGTGAGATGAGTGTTCCAACACTGTCTGGCTATTTGTCTTACCTCAGAGCTGTGCCTCTGGCTTTGGGCTTGTCAGACACCTGTCAATACACAAACACACAAACAACAACAAAAGTTATGCTCACATATTCAGCTTTGACAGTAAATTGTGGCAATAATATCAAAGTAGAGAACAGGAGTGAATCTCGTGTGACTGTTCAGGGTCTCTATAAGGAAAAAAAAAAAACCATTCACTGTGATCGATTGAGCAATTTAGCGATCGGCAGCGAAGACGGATCGTTTGATTGGAATCAATTCTCTGCACAGTGTCAATTAATTGATTGGCTCATTAATTAGATTAGATTCAATTAGGTGAAATTACAGCAGGGGACAGAGTAAACAAAGAATCAACTAAATCAGCAGCGTCAGGAGAAAAGCGTGCGAACAGGTTTTAATGAGCATCAGAAGCAGCTGCGTCTTCATCGTGGCCACAGAGTTTCATCGGGTCGTTCACTCGTCTGTTTGTTCTGAGACAAAGAAGAACTTCAGGAGTGAGAAGATATGAATAATATTACTGTCAACACCAAATGATCATGTATTAACAGTTACATAAGTATGGATTTAACTGAGCATGTCCACTATGTTTTATATTCACTATATTCTACGTATTGAATCACAAACCAGATTAGTCATAAACAGCAACATTAGTTCACTTATTTCTGCTTTTTAAGTTTGTGCTACTTTTTACCATCAGTGGTGACATTAGATGATGTTACTGAGAAGACCAAAAGATAAGAGAAACAATAAATAACTAGAAATGGGCATTTTTAAGTGTATTTTCAGAATATTACGAGACCTGTGGGAGCTGTTCTTCTTCCTCTAGTTTACAAGTTTTTGTTATGTTTTTTTTTTTCATTCTAAAAAGGTCACATTTTGAGAATATGTATTACTATCATATATTTACAAAAACAATGTCAAAACATTCTGAGAATTAATATGTTTTTTTTTTGTTTGAGAATAAAGTCATACTATTTGCAGAAAAAGGGGTATTTCTTTTTTCAAATCTAGTAAATTGTAGTTTTTAGTGATGTTTTTTCTTCAAAACCATCTCGCCAACATGAACCCAGTATCTGCACTAATTACACATTCTACTGTAACTACTGTTTAAAGCTGTTACAGATTATGCACCGACCCTTTTAATGTCCACTGAACTGTTTTATTGTCAAATGCACTGTTTTAATGTCCATTGCACCAAAGATACAATTTGCACATATCCATTTGTAAATATACACCATGTCATATATTCATGTAAATACCACAGTTTATATATATAGTGCCCTCCATAATTATTATAGTTAAGATGTGTTCTTTAGCTTCTAGTAAATTCTGTTTTTTTCTAAACAATATGGGACCACAATAAAAAAAAAGAGGAAAATTCCAACTTTAATTCAAGTGCATTTATTCAGTGTGAAAAAAATCCCACATTAAAAAATAATTCTTTGACATCAAATCATGTGTGCCACAATTATCAGCACCCTTGATGTTAATACTTTATACAACAATTCATTTGAGTTGAGTCGAAGGTTACATTTTTCTACAAT